GGGGGGAGGTGGGGCCTCCCCCCGGGGGGGCGGCGAGGGGGGGCAGTGCGGCAGTGAGGGGGGAGCGTCCCGGGCCGCAGGGAGGGGGAGTGGGAGATGCCGGTACCGCGGGGGGGACTGGGGGTCGGCAGGCAGGGCTGGGGGCCCCTGTGCCACCCCCTGTCCCGGCAGGTGTCACGCCGGGGTCCCCGCACCCAGCACGCCATGCCCAGGGAGTTGTCACCCCCAGGTCCCTGCACGCAGCACCCCGGGCTGCCTCCACCTCTGGGTCCCTGCACAGGGCACCCTGATCGTGGGGCAGTCACCGTCCAGGGTCCCTGCAGGCATCCGGGACTGTCACCATTCCAAGAGGCTATCACCTGCATGTGACACCCCAAAACAGACAGTCGTCACCCCCAGGTCCCTGCCTGGGCAGCTGCCACCCCTGTGTCCCCACACCTGGCACCCCAGGCTGCCACCACCCCAAAGCCTCTGCACGTGCCACCCTGGGCTGGCCATCGCCCCGAGGTCCCCGGGGTGCTGTGGGGTGACAGGGACCCCACAGCCAGACCTCCTGTTCCCACAGCAGGAAAAAATGAGCTGTGGAAGAGGCAGGAAGCAGGGCCAGGAGCAAAGCCCTCCATCCCTGTCACCTTTTGCAGCCATCTCCTGCTTGCCCCCAGCCGTGGTCACATTTTTCACCTTATTTCTCACTTGGACGTTGATTAATGGCAGCTGGGCTCCTGAGCCAGGGCAGGTCCCCACCGTGCCATGTCCACACAGCGTCTGTATCCCTGTGACATCCCTGTGACATCCCTGCGCTCAGGCACACGGCAAGGAATGCTCCCAGGAGCGGGCACACCTTCCCTCCCAAATCCCGCTGTCGCCCTTCCCTGGGCTGGGCTGTCTCAGCAGACCCCGGCCACGGGGAGATGGGGATCACAGTGTCCCCTGTGCCTGGGTGGCATTTCTGGAGGTGGGGACAGTGGCACAGGGAAGCTGCCAAGGCTCCTGCTCCGCACATTTGGAGGTGCCGTGGTGGGAGGGAAGGGCCTGGGGGCTGGAGGGACGCGATTCCCAGAGCTGGAACAGGGTGGGAGAGAGAAAAGCGGAACACTTGGCACCTCCCAGGTTCCCACCGGACACCAAGGATGCGTCAGAGCGACGGGGAAACTGAGGCACACCTGGACAGGTTCCACATGTGCCTCTCATCTTGGCACTGTCACAAGAACCCTAAAAATCTTGGAACAGGATTCCTGCTGCTCCAACAACTGCTTCACCAAGCCCCCCCTCGCCTCCTGCAGTCGCCGCGGACACGTGTTCAGCCTCATCCAATTCACCGCTGCCGGGAATTTTCGGGCTGCTCCGGCCTCCCGTGTGCTGCACCCTCCGTCTCCATCCCGAGCCCCAGGCAGGAGCCGGCCCCGCGGCTCCCGGAGCCCGGCGCTGCCTCCCGGCCGCGCTGCCGCTGCAGCCGCCCTCGGCTTCAGCCAGCTGGGGTCCCCTGTAAGCTATTTTTTAGATGGGAGAAATTTCCCTCTCCGGCAGCAGAAAACCAGCACGGCCGCGCTCCGGAGAGGGGATTTCAGGGATGAGCAATTCCCGATGCTATGGGGTCTCAACTCCCAGGGCAGGGTCGTTCCTCCCGGGGAGTTGTGGCTTGGGGGTGGATTTTTCCAGCTCTGCTGAAATTCACTCCTCCCCTGGAGATCGGGATGGGGTTGGGGCATGTGAATGTGTGCCCCACAGGGAGTCTCCAGTGTCAAATACTGCGGTTGAGATCCCAGCTTGAAGGGGGAATTGCTGATAATAACAAGTGGTTTTTTGGGAGAAACAACCCCCAAAGAAGCAAAGCCTGATTGAACTCTCCTCCCTTCGTTATTTTTTTAACAGATCAATTTGCTCCTCGATGTTAACGAAGCTCCCTCCCAGTTAATTCTCCAGAGACTCTGGGGTGGAAACTCATTAATTTGTCACCACCCAAATCCCAGCAGGAATAGCAGGGCCTTTTCTGGGCTTTTCCCCTGCAGTCCCCAGCGGAGCTCCCTGTGCAGCCGCAGGGACGTGGCGGAGCCGCCTTCCCCAGGGATGGGGGCCCCGGAGCTCCGGCTCCCGCTCCCTGGGGATGGGCAGGCGGCGCTGGGAGGGGGGGGGGGAGGAAAATTAAGTGGCTTAATTGCGTTTGGAGCCCTGGCTGGGTTTTTGTTCATCAGGGATCCCCGCTGGAGCACTCCCGAGCTTTCCCCGAGCCCAGCTCAGCCCACTGCTCTCTTCCTCGTGGGATGAAGGCTGGGACGAGCCGTGCTGGCTCCCTCTGCTCTGCCCCAGGCCCCTGCGCTGGATTCTCCCGCTGATTCTGTGGGGAGAAGCTCTGGGGTTTCCTCAGAGCTCAGTCCTAGCATGGTGGGCTGGAGGCAGCGGCGTCCCAGGGATTTCAGCCGCTGGGATGTTGGGAATGTTCCTCTCCACCATTCCCCCTTTATCTCAGCCGGGGCTCAGGCCAGCCTTGACAGCAGGTCAGTGCCACCTCTCCCCTCTGTCCCTTTGTCCCTCTGGGGACAGGAGCACTTTCCCAACACTGCCAGCTGTTTTCCTAATTAGATGATCCCACTAATGAGGCTGGAGAAGCTCGATCCAGGCCTGGTGTTGTGTGGTTTATTTGCAGTTTCAGAGCACTCTGGATTCACATCCCAACATCACATCCTTTCTTCTTCCAGGAGTTTGAGGGGATGGAAAGGAAAAGGACTGAAGTGGCTCTGGCTCAGGAATGGCACTGATTGAGCTTTAATTAATCTGCTCGTTCTTTATCCCTCCAGTGGCAGCGCCAAGGGGCTCCTTCCTGCCCTGAGGGATGAGGGGGGATGGGACGGGATGGGATGGGATGGGATGGGATGGGATGGGATGGAGATGAGGAAGGGTGTGGGATTAAGATGAAGGTGAGAATGGGAGGAGGATGAGTATTGGAATGGGATAGGGATGAGGATGGGGATGGAGATGGAATGGAGTGAAGTGGAGATGAGGATAGGCATAAGATGACAATGGGGATGACATAGGGACAGGGATAGAGGTGGGATGAGGATGGGGACAGGGTTGGAAATGGGATGGGGATGGGATAGGGATCCCTCACAGGAGTGGGGAGGGATGGGATGTGGATGGAGATAGGATGGGGATGGAATTGGAGATGGGATGGGGATGCCCCAAAGCCATGGGAAAGCTGTCGGGGATGGGGAAACTTTATGGCTGGGGATGGTACAAACCTGTGCTGGGTGCTCTCAAATCCCTCAGGACAACCCCAGGGACCTCCTGGCAGCCTGCGGGGGCTGGGATGGGGATTGGCACCGCAGCGTCCTCCGGACACTCCCATCACTCCCCCGGGCACCGGGAGGGGACGTGAGCGCCCCGGGGGTGTCGTTGTGACATTTTAAAGGCACTGGCACCGAGCCCTCAGAGGCGCTGGAGGCATCAATCTCCCGGGGCCGTGCTGTCAGGCGGGTATTTAGTGAAATGTTTCCTAAATGAACGCTTGATGGGAGAAGAGGGATGGCCGCAATGTTCCGAGCCACAAGGTTATCCCGGCCGCCGGCTGCCAGCTCCCAGCGCCCGCTGGAAACCCGGGAAGGGCAGCGGAGAGAGCCCCTGGGGAGGGGTCAGGAGCCTCCTCCCACACCTGGGAGCAAATCTCGCCCGTACCGGGAAACAGCGGGCACAGCTGCGGGCAGCTGGTGCGGGCAGGGAGGGAAGGGGCAATGGGAAAAGCTCGGAGAGCTCTGCTGAATTTGGGTTCTGAAGGGGGGAAATAGCCCTGCCAGGGGAGGAGGCAAGAATTCTGCTTAGGGGGAATTTTTCTTCGTGTTAAAATGGCAAGAATCGAGATGAGTCTGTTCTTAGCACCCCTCCAAAGGGATGCAGCCCAGGATGCTGAGGGCAGCGGTGACTCTGCTTGCTCCTGCCAGGAGATGGAGCAAGAAACAACTCGCAGAGATCTCAGTGAAAGACCCTCAAGCTCATTTACAGCATCAGAGTCACGGTGCTGGAGAGCACAGCCTGCCCAGGGAGGAGTGCCGGAGCACAGGGAGGCACGTGGCGTTTTCAGAAGGAAAGGTGGTGGCTCCTGGAGGGAGTTTTGCCTCCGGGACGCCGGGCCTGGCTCTGCTCCCATCCCGCTGCTGGTGCAGAGCAGCATCAGCTCCATCTCTCCAGGATGCTGTGACCTGTTGCAGTGGGATGCTCTGTGATGCCAGAGTCCGCTACCCAGTGCCAGGATGCTGAAATCTGG